CTCAAGCTCACATGGCACAAGGGAATATGGTTCACCTTGAAGACTCCTCTGCCGTCCTGGAACCACAGGCTTTGGGAGACCTCGCAGAAGAAGCCAAGGTCACGTCAGTCGAAGGTTGGTCTTATCTTTGAAGTGCCGGACACTTTTTCTTACATTGTGACTTACATCTACAGGGAAAACCTTGTATATCAGGTCGTTAGCAATAAGTAACAGCGTAGGTTATGATTTGTATGAGCAACAGTTCAAGATAACACTATCAACATAGAAATGTGCGAAGCATCATCTTTGGCGACCCTCGTCTGCCATTCCCAACATGTCCAACTTATTTATATTCACATCGCTCATGCATTTTAGATGAAGTTAATTCCCAAACGGCAAAAGAGATAGCGGCTAACCTGGACGAATCCTGCGTCGTCCTGGAACCACAGGCTTTCGAGGACATTGTTCAGAAAGCCACTGCGACAACAGTGGAGGGTAGGTATTATCTTTGAAATGCCAGACAATATTTCCTGCAGTGTGATGTGCATCTACACGATAATTCTTGTGGATAGTTGGTTAGAAAATAGTAACAGCGTAAGGCGCAACTGCTCTGGACACCAGTTCAGGATAACATTATACATTTTATAGTGGATATGGTAATATAATAAGCTAATCTCATCTTCAAATTCCAACTTGTACGAATGTCTGCTGTTATGACGCGTACGCATTTTAGATGAACTTAAAGCCCAGACAGAGCAAGAACCTGTTACCTACATGGTCAAATCTTCAATCGTGCCCAACACACAGGCGTCTTGCGACGTGCAACAGAAATTCGAGGTGATATCAGCCGAGGGTAGGTATTGTATTGAAATACCAAGGGGATTTTCCTACATTGCGATGTGCATTGACCTGGAAAAGTTTGCGTACATAGCATTACCGGCAAAGACGAGAAGGCCTGAAATGGCCACTTCTGGCTTATTAGCCGTCGTCAGCCAGTCATACCCAACCCCAGGGGGTGCACCACCCGAAGCTCGCACTCGCGATCTCTTCGGTCGCAGTCAAACGCTCTAACCACCGAGTTACGACCTCGCTGTCTTGCCAATTTAGGCCCTGAGGTATTGAATTTCGTTGATGAACGTTCATCGACCGCTAACGGAACTCACTTATC